GTCGTCGAGCTGGCTGCGTGAGGTTGAAGCGCTACCCAATTCTTGAGGTTTAAGGGGTGAATTTATAAATTAATGCGGATTAGGGCTGTGTTTAAAAGTGGTTTTTGATCTCTTTTGCCCTTTAAAATTTGTATTCAGTTTGACAATTGCCCTGACTCGAATCACCGAGCGGGATGATCATGGAAGGAGGAGGAGGAGCAAAGGGAACGGTGGCGTCGCTGTCCTCTTTATTTCCGGCTCAGGATGCTCACAAAGCAGCGATGCGCGTCCAAGATGCGATTTCTGAGAAGCAGAGGGAGCTTGAGCATCTCCGAGGTTTCATCTCTGATAATGCTAACCTGATCAACCTTGTCCAGAAATTACCTGAAGAGCTGCACCATGAAGTCATGGTACTTTTGCTTCTTCCTTTGAGTTGGGTGTTGAGTGTTTTCAGCGTTGTTTTTTGATAGCAAAAGAAAATTTATTCGTGGGTTCGCTGTGATTGTTGTTTCGAAGGTTCCATTTGGGAAGGCGGCTTTCTTCCCGGGGCGTTTGGTTCATACTAACGAGTTTCTGGTAATGTATTGTACTCTCTTATAACTTCTGGGAAACTTATTCTCTGTATGATTGATAAAGAAGGGACAAGGGTATTATATTGTTAGGACTCCACCCAATGATACTCCCCTCAAACAAAGTACACTATTAGCTTCTCCTGAGGCCTATGAAGCTCTCGAACAACCTCCCCTTAATCGACTCAACTCCTTCTCTGGAGTCTTCGAACAAAGTACACCATTTATTCGACACTTGAGTCACTTTTGACTACACCTTCGAAGGTCCCAACTTCTTTGTTCGACATTTGAGGATTCTATTGACATTGATAAGTTAAGGGCATGACTCTGATATCATGTTAGGAATAACGACGGTTTACACTAGTATAATATTGTCCACTTTGAGCATAAGCTCTCATGTTTTTGTTTTGGGCTTCTCCAAAATGCCTCATACCAATGGAGATGATCGTTCCCTAAATTAGTCAAATTAGTCAAACGTGGGACTCCCTCCCAACAATACTCTAATATTATACGCCCATGGATTTATTAATAGATGTTCATATTGGTTTTCAAGGAGTAAAGGGTTATTTTAGTGGAGCACATGAGACTAGTTCCTATTGTTCTTCTTTTGTTCTATTCAGTATCCTAATGACGCTCACTACTCTTAACTACTCTCAAAGTTCATTGTTGAATCCCCTTGTACTGCTTTTAACTCTGGTGCAAAATTAAGGGAAAAAGAGACATTAATGGGTTTAACTAGATCATTGTTTATGCTTTTGATCAAATGTTTGTGGCCGAGTTCTGGAAAGAATATGCGGTGAGGTTTACTTTTCAGGACGTCGAGTTGAGAACCAGACTTGAATTCAAGTGCAGGTTCTTCTGGGAGAAGGTTATTATGCTGAGAGAACATCGAAACAAACGGTCGAGATCTTGAAAAGGAGAGGTAAAGCTTTGGATTCTCAAGTTGATTCTCTGAAGGCAATGATGGATGATCTTAAGGCTGAGGCCTCATTTTTTGATGCTACGGCATCCGAAGCTGCGGTAAGCTTAGCAATTTATCGGTGAACTATATACCATAACGTGAAGTTGATAAAAATTTGAGGTTTACCTAGAAGCTAGTACATGTATTTTTTATATATTTACCGGATTATCCTACAACGTCGATGTTGATGTTCTTTATATTGCTACCAGGAGGGTCTTGTCGAGATAACTGAGGAGTATGTGGAGGAAAACAATAGTGAGCAGGAATCTGGATCAGGTCGGTTCTTATCCTCATCTCCATCCTATTGTTATGAAACATGTTAGGATTGACAATTTGGCATTGTAAGACATGTGAGGCCTTGTCTATCGTATTACATATATGAATAAATGTAACAGCTCAAGCTTACCGCTAGCAAATATTGTCTGCTTTAGCCCGTTACGTATCGCCGTCAGCGTCACGATTTTAAAACGCGTCTGCTAGGGAGAGGTTTCCACTCCCTTATAAGGAATGTTTCGTTTCTCTCTCCAACCGATGTGGGATCTCACAATCCACCCTCCTTAGGGGCTAGCATCCTCGCTGGCACACCGTTCGGTGTGTGGCTTTAATACCATTTGTAACCGCCCAAGCCCATCACTAGCTAATATTGTCCATTTTAACCCGTTTCGTTTTGTCGTTAGCCTCACGGGTTTAAAACGCGTCTATTAGGGAGAGGTTTCCACCCCCTTATAAGGAATGTTTCGTTCCTCTCTCCAACCGATGTGAGATCTCACAATCCACCCTCCTTGAGGGCACACCGTTCGGTGTCTGGCTTTAATACCATTTGTAACCATCCAAGCCCATCACTAGCAAATATTGTCCACTTTAGCCTGTTACGTTTCGTCGTCAGCCTCACGATTTTAAAACGCGTCTGCTAGAGAGAGGTTTCCACACTCTTATAAAGAATGTTTCGTTCCCCTCTCCAACCGATGTGTGATCTCACAATCCATCCTCCTTGGGGGCCAGTGTCCTCGTCGGCACACCGCTCGGTGTCTGGCTCTGATACCATTTGTAACCGTCCAAGCCCATCGCTAGCAAATATTGTCCACTTTAGCCCGTTACGTTTTGTTGTCAACCTCAAGGTTTTAAAACGCGTTTGCTAGGGAGAGGTTTCCACACTCTTACAAGGAATGTTTCGTTCCCCTCTCAAACCAATGTGGGATCTCACAATAAATGTACTTGGTTTCTGGAGTTGCCAAGCATGCATCATAATCACAGTCTGATGTTTATACGAACTACTTGTGAACACAGGTAAAACGGATGAATTACGATGATGTTATGTTTCTTTTCAGGAGTAAACAAGCAAGATGCTCCCAGTGTTTCTGGAGTTGATGAGGCAAGGATTACAGAAGAAGATGAAGAATATGCCCGTATAATGTCCAGATTGGATGAACTCGAGGAGGAGGAAGAACTTGCTGCCGCAAACGACAACCAAAACGATGAAGAAGGTGAGGAAGAGAAAGAAACTTCAAATCAATCTTTGGAGAAGCTTCATGATGCTAAGCACAGCTATTCAAAGGTAGTGTCAGAATCAAATACCTTAGAGATTTAAAGCTCGCAGAAATGCGTGGTTATCGACAAACTTACTCGATGAATTGGTGATGTATCGTTAACCATTTCTGATGATTGATCGCTTCGAAACATTCTCAGGCAAGTACATTTCCGTGTCAGAGGGATGAAGATATAGGTAGTAAAGAGCTACTGGATAAGTATCAGCAGCAACAACAAGAGGCTTCTACCAATCCATCAAATGTGACCAACCTCTTATTTGCTTTACTGTTTATTACTGTCTGTGTTCTTTGTTAAATAAAACAGCATTCATTATTAATTCATGTATATTTGTTATGCAGTGTTCAAATTTTTCAGAACAGTCTTCATCCAAAGGTTCGTTACATGGCAACAATTCTTCGACTCAGACTCGGGGAATGAGAAACACTAATTCTGCTGCAAAGTCTGTTACATTTGCTGAAGTAAAAGAAAAGAATCAAACATTGCCTGCATCTACCAGTGAGGTACTTTCAAGCTTGTTTATTGTATAGTTTCTTTAGGTGCCCTGTTGGTCTAAAGCAATGGATCTGTCCATAATTTTGAGGTTAGTTATAAGATTCGACCTCGTTAATCCGTGTCGTGTCAACTCTGTCGGGTGTAGGCTTTCACGGGATCCATTGTGGAGCGCCCTCCTATTATGCCGAAAATTTCTAAACAAGAAACAGAAACTCCATTGCAGGTGGGTTTGCTTTAGTTTAGACCATTCTTATTGCCATCATTGTACTAGTGTTCATTCATTGATGCTAAAGCAAACTGTTGATTTGGGCAGCCTTCTGGTTCTCAACCTTCAAAACCAGTATCCAGGTTCAAGATGCAAAGAAGATAGCGAGCTGCACGCTGCAATGTCGTACTTAAAAAAGTTGAAAATTTTGGTAGCAATTGATTTTGTATGGTAGTTTGTGGATGAAATTTTGTTCGAGTTCTGTATGGACTTGGTGTCTGATTCTCCAACGATATTAACTGAAGGAATTAGTATTGCCTTAAATTGCAACAGGAAGAAAGAACACTATGATTAACATACTAAATTCATGGTTTGGAAACGTTTGGAGGGTAACTCGGTCGTGTGGTTTTTCTTCTCCTTTCTCTTCTTAATAATACTCTCTTCAACTACTTTCTCCCTTTGCATTGAGTTTGCAGATAGTAACCATTTTCATGGGGTGATTGGCCGCCCTCTCGAGGTTGTAGCCGGCGGTGGTGGTTGCTGGCGGTGCTCATCGGTGGAGAGATTTGGGAGGGGTACTTCGAGGGCATGTTGGTAATTTCACACCCATTATGAAAATTGATATTAAAATATTTAATATGAATGTTGAAAATCTCAGACATCTCATAACTCTCGAACATAAAGATATCTGAAACCATCTCAAACACATCTGGAGAGAATTTGAGGGCATTTTGGTAATTTCATACCCAATATGAAAATTGATATTAAAATACTAAATGTATTTAATATGAATGTTGATAATCAATGATATATTTGATATACGAATGGTATAAGTGATGTATTAGCTTGCCACTACAAATTCTCAAAAAATATATTACGGTGGGAATTTATTTATTTATTCTTTTGTTCTCTATTTTGGCTGTGGGAGGCGATGGAGGTAGAGATGACAGGTAAATTCTTACCCAATTTTGTTTCGGGTGCAACTCTAATTTATTTCAAAATAAAAAAAAAAAATCATCACCATTTAAGTCACCCTGTCAATTATATTTTTACTTGTAAGGAAACTATGCTATCCAATCTGTCTGTTGATATAAAATGGTCAAATTCTTTACTAGACTAAACATATTCCAAGTTTTTCATGTTAGTTTATGGTGGTTGATTAAGGGGTTCTTGGAACAAACTAGGCTAGAAAATGGAGTTTGTGATTTCGATAATTACCAAACATGCATCCAAATAACGAGTTTCGTAGACAATCTAGGTTGTACTGATGCTTGTGCAGATGAAGGTAAAAAGGATTACAGAAAAAAAATATACAATTTTAGAGCATTTATGAATTGGGTTAACCTAGCAGCTAGCACAAACAAACGAGAAAATAAATGGCAAAGTCGCCAACTGAAAAGGATACGAATACCTACACAAACTCGCTAACCGAGCAAAGTATGTCATTTAACATTCCTATTTCAACAACATTGCTATTAGTTGTTTCAGCTGCAGTATCTTTCCTCTTCCCGACTGCAATAAATTCAAGGTAAACAAATACCATAATAAAATGTTGTTGAACAAATACCATAATAAAACATGACATTGCACCACAAAATTTTAACAAAAAAAGATCGGCCGCAGCCAAAATCCCGAAGGACAGATCTGCAACAATTCTTAATTATATGCATGAAATATCATTTAGCACCCACTATATGAACAGCCCACGTCTTTACATAGTTAACAAGCAGTGATCATAAAAATAAGAGTAACCTGGTAAGTTTAACACACATGATGTAAGATCTTTTAGTAGACCTATGGTATATTTGGAGTTGATATCAACAACTTTTTCCCCCAAAATACTTGCATAGTTGTTTGGTCCAAAAGTATTTTCCTTAAACGTACTTCTAAATTCACTCTTTGCGATGCATATCTTCCCCCCAGTATGATTAAGTGCCAATGATTTACCATTCAGAATGGAGCAGAAATTTTCTTAAGGACAAAAAATGGAAGCATACCTCGTGGATAGCTTCAATTCTCCGTTGTGCATCCGCAAGTTGCTTGTCAACTTCTTCTTCCACTTGCAAGAGATTATTACGGTGTGATGCTTCTGTGAATACATAATACCGTTAGAAGTGCCTAGAACCTTCAAAATTTATATATAATTATCCATTGAAAGTGCTCTCTATTCACGTAAACTTTTCTTCTCATTTATATTGCATATTTTTCTGTTTCTCCTTACATCCTCATGGAATCTAATCGCAACAATTAAATTTTGTATTGAAAATTTAAAGTGAAGGCTATAGTAAAATAATCTCAAATAATTCGAAAAAAACTAAAAACTGGTTGCCTTTATCGTCTCACTCCACCTAAGGGTCGGAGTGAACGCCTCACCTCTCTTTTGAGTCCCCATAACCAAGAAAGTGTTAGAGCCCCAAATCATAGGTTGTGAGTAGTGGTGTAAAACAAACAGGTTAAGCGTGTGCAATGCAATTCATGTAACTGAGAAAATTTAAAGCAACACGACAGAACATACTTTTCTTTTCCATAGTTCCCTTGAACTCTATCTGTTGCGCTTCCAATTCTTGTAGTGAGTTCCTACAATCCTGTAGATGCTGATTAACCTCCTCCTTGAACTTTTTGTTAATGCGCGTCAATTGCTGTTGTTGTTCTGTAAACATAGATAGAGCTTAATAAACACTGGTTAATCTACCAAAAAATATGAAATTACAACTTTGATGCCCAAGCATATACGGAGCAAAGTAAAGATGAACCCATGCAAAAGATGGCAAAATTACTCCACACAAGTCATGAAATTGATCTCCAGAAGAATTTTAAACATCATAAATAGCATAGTGTAAGCCAGCCATTGGCCAAATCTACTCAGCCACTAAATGTACCAAAGAGCTTATAGAAAAATTTAGGCCAAACATGCTGAATATACAGGATTCGTGTCTCATATCAGTTACCGTCCCGTGAGGGCATTAGTTTGTATAGCTGGAAAGTTCATTTGTGAGCAAGAGAAGGAAGTTCGTGATTTATGAATTCAGATTACATGAGTCCAGGTGATGAACATTCACCCCAATAAATAAAAAGAAGAGGCTTGCAAACACAGTTAAATAAAACTATTTCATAAAGTTAGCTGTACCAATTGAGAAAGAAATTGACATGTGAATTAAAAACCCATCATATAATTATGCTACCTTCAAATTTTGTTTCTAGAACTTTTCGTCTTGATTTACCAAAGCTCAACAGCTTTACCCTGAAATACCGTCGCAAATCAATTTAGAAATTTTGATCTCGTAAACAAAAACCAGAAATATGAATTGATAAACTTACGTGTCCATTTGGATTTGAGACTCAACATTCTGCAACTGCAAATGAATACTCTCGGCAACTGACAGCAGAATCTCTGAAGATTTTTCGATAGATATTGACGATATTTTATTTTTCATCTTCTCAAGCTCTGAGAGAAACAGTTTGACGGCCCTAAATAGAATATAAAGGAGAAAACTTACGACTTTCAATTCATACATTTTGTGTGCTGATTCTTAGCGCACCACCCCCCCCCCCCCCCCCCCCCCCNTGTCAAAAAAAAAAAAAGAGAGAGAAGAAGAAGAAGAAGAAGAAGAAGACGCTTTCATTCGGTTAGGAGGGAGGGGAGAAATTACCTTGCAAGGCCATCCTCTTCGTTCGGTACTAAAGTTTCCTCGGCCCAACTACTTTCTCCAGGCCCTAATCAGACAATTTAGATGATTATTAGTTTTCTTTTGTTCTAATGTCTACATTTCTAGACAAAAATCTTTAAGCATAAATATGCCAGCACAATGCTGAGACAATTAAACAGGTTTGACACCCAAAAATCACGTATATTTCAAGTTAAGCTATTTTCTTTAAAAGAGTAAGAACATACCATTCAAATCAAATTCATGGTTTTCTACACTACGGGCCCTCTTTGCTGGACGAAGCATAGACTTGAACTTCTTTATGTTTGCGATTTCTGGAGAGAGTGTATCTCTTTGACTTGAAGCTACACCAACACATTGAAGTTTCATATGAATAAAAAGGAAATGGAGATACAATGGAAAAACAAGCATCAGAAGAGTCCAAGGCAGACTTAACATAGACGAAGAATAATTGTGACACAAACTGAACCTATTAACATAGACGGGTTGTCTACACATTAGAATGTTGTTTTAATAATATAAATACAAGTTCAGTTCAGATTCATTTGTTGATATAGATTCTATCAGGGATATGAGGTATATGCATGGTGACCTATAAAAGATGTGGGTGTATGCAAATCAGGTATCTAAAGAAGTTAAGAAAAACAAAAAAATTTGTTACTTGAGCAAAATCTTACTTACCTTTTTTTTTTATTATAAACCGAGCTTTTAATTACACATACATATCAGAAGAGTCCAAGGCAGACTTAATGAACATCAAACTAAGAAAATAAACTGATAGTTCCAAATCTCGTATATCTCCCAATCTTTTCATGGACCCAGAAGAGACAAACAACTTAAGATCGTATATACAGTTCTGGAACTTGGAAGTCTTTCCTAATGAAAGGTATGTTCCTTCAACTTTCCACTGGTAACAACCACAAAATTTATCAAATGACTGGTATCTATATGAGTAAATCTAAATGAGAATAGGATAATCCATGAAAAGAAAGCATCGGTAAGTAATTTTCATCAAGCAGGAGATAGTGTAGTGTAGATGAATTTCAATATAGAACAATGTAATAATGACGTTGAAAGTAAGGTGTACTTGAATTTCAAATGATGAATAAGAAGCAGGCAAACCTTCTGCAGAGCTTTCATAGCTGGTGTCCTCGGATGATGAATCAGATAACCCATAATCTGCTACTTCTTTTGTTACACCAGTTGCTGCATTCTCGAGTGGAGATTGCTCAATCTCTTTTTCATCTTCCTGAAAGTCAATAAGGAAAGACAAAATATGGAGACTTGACAATGAAGCTCAAAGACTGCTGCAAACATGACACTTGCAGGAAGATGATAGTTGATGATAAACCCTACACCTAGTAAACTTGCAAGAAGATGATAGTTGATGATAAACCCTACACCCACTAAACAAGGATACTGAAAGGTGTGGTGTTACATTTGATCTGTCACGATCCTCTTCTGAAGTCCGCAATTTCCTGAAGCTACAAATATTTCTCGTAGAAAGTATTTCCTCTGCTGAGCCAGGACTTGAAGATTCATAAACTATTTTATCTGCTTTTGGAGTTGAACTAGGCGAACTGCACACAGGCGTCTTCATTCTAAAAGTTGGACTTTCTATATGACTCTGTGGGTCTACATCCTTTTCCAGGAATGGATTGTCAATGTCTCCTTGTGGACCATAATTTGCTAGACTATGAATATTCTCTCGCAACAGTGTCCTGTCCATCTGTGGAAATTGATTGAATTCCTTCCGTACAACTTTTTCTTCAATAACAGGGTTAGCCGGAGAGCTATGAAAACCCTGAACTTCTCTAAAAGAAGAGGGTTTATCTTGAGGTGCCAGTTCTTCAATCCCGGTTGGATTAGGAAAAGTTGTCGTCCTGTCTTCTTTTTGAAGAAAAGAAATTTTTCGTGGCTGAAATTTGAAACTCCTTTCACCCCTTTTCTTTCTTGTGGACATTGATGAAGCCCTACTGGTAGCAGCATGAGTGCCTTCAGGCCTTCCTTCAAAGACAAAAACATTTTCCTCCTGATGTTTTCCTTTGTTGCATGAAGGGATCTTAGATTTTCTTGACTGCACAAAAATGCGGGATCTTTTCCGTGCTATTGAACGTACTATTGGCCTCTTCAAAGTCTGACTGGGATCTTCAGAATCAGTTTCAATCGTATCCGAATTCTGTTTAAATTTGACAGCTCTATCATGCTCCTGCACAAAGATTTCTTCAGTTATTAAATGATTGGCATCTTGCTTATGGTTCTTACAATCCGAGTTTTGATCCTTAGGTACAGAAACAGTTCCAAGTATCTCCCAAAGCTTCATTTTCAGAGTTTCAGTTCTATTTTCTGATTTATTTGCTCGATCCTCAATAATCGTTTTATCTGACCGGACCTCTGCCATGGTTGCAAATGCAAACTCATGCAACTTCTCGTTGGTTCTATCCCTCTCTTCTTCCAATTGACAGTTGACCTCATCAAATTTCGTCTCCTTGCTACTTCCAGACTTGAACACTGAGCTTTGGTTTGCAAACAAACGTACAGAATATGTTCCTGGTGGCTCCATTAGTCCATGACCCGTATTCTGCCTCCCACAAGTCGTTGGAGAATGGAACGCCTGTTCTGCTCCACTTACAGTCTCCATGACGGGTGCATTTTGTAAAGAGGGTCGAGTAGAAACCCATGGTGATCTCACTTGTTGAGGAGCTTCTGATAGTATTGAATTGACATCAGTACCAAAGGTTCCTGTGCCTTTATCCTTCCGATTCCTTTGCGTGGAACTTTCTAAGCGGGAAAAATCAACCTCTGCATTTGACACCATGGATTTTCGTTCTTTTGTGCCTCTAGAACTCCCATTGGCTGGTGACTCTACCATAACACCAATTGAAATCTTTCTCGATTGGCTTGATGGATGACAATTGCTACCTAAACTCCGACAATCACTCAATGGATCCTGAAATGTATGTATGACAACACGAGGAAATTAGATCGCAGTCGGCAATAATTGATCCCTATTAAGTCTTAATGTCGTTTTATTCATCTAAGTGAATTCAAAATTGACGAAGTTAAAAGTTGCCCAAAACTAAAAGCATAAGCAATGATGTCTAGATTCGGATAACTATTTGATTAACATTTCTCACAAAAGTGATGTAACACAAGTGCTTTGCTTATTAATATCCCACACCAGTAAAACCTAATATTTCAAGAACAGAAATGCTGGAGCTTCCCTTTAATCCATAAGAAGAAAAAAAAATATCCCATGGGTAAAAAGAAAATGAAAGAGTTATCTAAAATAACAAGACAACCCAATGTTAATTCTAGAACCAATACACGAGACGATTTGAAAAGAACAAGTTGGTAACATGAGTGGGCGAAATTTTGTAATCTGTAAGGAACATGAAACTTGAGTCTGTAAAAGAATTGAATAAAGCATATAGCTAAGGATTTCACCGCTTACATCTCGTAAACTCGGCTGCCTGCCAACCTTCGCTTCCGTCATTTTTTTTCTGGGACAATATAAGACAGCAATAGCAGACACAATATGTAGAACATCAGTGACATGGTGAATGTTCAACAAAGGAAATAAGCAGCATATATCAGATATGAATGTTTAAATTAGGTTTTCAAGGAGGGATAGACAGTTCAAGATTTACAACCTTCGTACGCTGCAAGATTTATTCGTCTTCCAAACTAATAGCCACAACCATCAATTGTTTTGGTGATATGCAAAGATTTTCAGTATCACGAGACGAAATGGCGCCAATGTCGCAGTCACGCGGAGTAGGGTCGATGTGGATGGTAGCAATAGATTTCACAGCAACGACTGGTTCTCGGGGGAAGACAAGGCTCCGAAATAGAACGGTTTACAATCAACAAACACAGTAAAATTTGTTGTAGCTATAATCAATACCCTACATCGAACAATGCTTCAACATTTACAAGGAAGTTACAAAAGACAAAATAAAAGCGCTACAAACCAATATATCCCTTCATGAACACGTTAAGATCAATCACCAAGGGGCGCAACATGGAGATCATGAATTTTACAGATCAACGAGTATAAAATGATGACTGGAATAGTGTTTTCGACATCTTGACGGCACAATCTGAATGCTAAATGGAAGGTCGATCATCGGAATCTCCTGCTTCAGAATCGAATTTAATAGCATAGGGAGGGAGGGTCTTACGATTTTTGGAGTGAATAAAAAGACCACTCTAGAGAATAGACAGTTGCTTATAGCTTGATCGACGCCGACTGCCTGCTCTCTGGAATCGTCGAGTTGTTGTGACGAGAAATGAGGATGATAGTTCACCGCATTCCGTCAGGACGGCCGAGACATTGCACTGCAGAGAACAATATGGTAGAGGCGGGAAAGGTGAGCACGACGCGCGAGTTTGGAAGATGGTATTTGAAAAAACCCCGCGATCGGTCGGACCGGAACTCGAATCGATTATTCTTTTTATTTATTTTATGATTTTAGATTTTTAGATTTAAATCGATTTTTTTAGTGATTAAATTAATAAAAATATTTGAATAATATTCTTAAATTAAAAAACAAATCAAATATATACTTAAGAAAAAAAAATTAAATAATACCATTTATGTTCATAATAGTTTTGTTTCTCTCCAATTAATATGGGATCTTACAATTTACCTTCTTTAGAGTCTAACATTCTCACGGTCACACTATCCAGTAAGTATTTCTAATACCATTTGTAACAAAAAATAGTATCATTGTCAAATTTATATGATCCGAAAAACATCAATTAGGGAGACATTTAAGCGTGGATGGATAGGGAGAGACCCGAAAAACATAAAACACTCAAATATTTTTTATTAAAATCATTTGTTTTTCCAAACATAAAACACAACCCACTTCAAATCCAGTGGCTCTAAAACTGATTATCAGAACACGTCGAAGGACCGTTCCCCGGCCGCCGGCTTCCGCCAAAACTGCTCGAAGAACCAGCCGCCTTCATCTCTCCATCATTCGCCCATCCATAAACCAATCGTTTAATCCTCTCCGTTGGTTTCGTTGCTCCAAATTCATACACAACATCTTCAATCTAATTCCACAACAATCCAAACCATTCACCACTAAACAACGTTAAACCAAAACAAAAACCTTAAACCAACACAAATACCTCAGCATGAAGCGAATACAATACACTGTTCCCGACAACAGAATAACTGACATTAACGATCTCAGCTCGCTCCTGGTAAAAAATATGAATTATCTCATAAAATATGAATCGATCCTCCTGTAAAATCTCACATTGGTTAGAGAGTATATAAAGGAAGTTCATCAAAAAAAAATTGAAAGAAACAATATCTGCAAGCGGTAGAGTTTGGGTTGATATACCTCCAACCCAATACTCAAAACAACTTCGACAGCCGAACCAATCTCTTTGATTCTCAATTCAGGTCCATTTCTATTCCGGCTTCTCGTTGGAGCCGTGTACAACGACGACGAAGATTGTCTCGTAAACCTCTCCTTCTTCTCCTCGTTCTTCTTCAGCTTCAACTCGAGCGATTTTATGTACTTAATAGCTTCTTCTATCTGATCCGACACGGACAATGGCATCTCCTACAAGATTTGTGGAGACCCAATTAAGAACAGATGAAAAACATTGATGGAAAATAGAAAGAAAGAAAGAACGAACATTTGAGTGATGGGTTGGGAGAAGAGAGTTCAATTTGGAGTAAAGCGATTTCATCTTGTTTCTTCGATTCTTCTCCAGCACCTTTCTCTCGACCTTGTTATGGGTAGCACTTTGTTGGGTTCCTTCGTGAGTTCCCTCCATGGAATAGTATTAATCATATTCAAATTGTAGAGCCAAATGAGTAGCATTTGTATAGATCTGGGGATTCCTTGGAAGAGAAGAGATAGCCACTGCCAAGCCATGTGGACCGCCGCAATGGTGGAAAATAATAGTGAAAAGTACGAAATTTAATACACGCATTACTCACATTGGCCCTTTCTTTTTGGAGAAATTATTGGAGTTTCTCACTAGTGTGTTACTACATTTACACGTTTTATGAGATCTCACCTCCCTTGGAGAGGAAAACAGAACAATTTTTTTATATGGGTGTGAAAACCTCTCTCTACTTATATATGCGTTTTAAAATCGCAAGGCTGACGGTGATAATGTAATAGGCCAAAGCGAACAATTTCTGTTAACTGTGGTTGGAGAGAAGAACGAATCATTTCTTATAAAGGTGTAAAAACTTGTATCTAAAATACATGTTTTAAAATTATGAGGCTGAGTGACACGTAATTGACCAAAACAGACAATTTATGTTAGCGGTGTTGGAGAGGGGAATGAAGATTTCTTATAAAAGTGTGAAAATATCTCTGCTATTTACGTGTTTTGAAATCATGAGACTGACAATGATAAGTCGAAGCGAACAACTTCTACTAGCATTGGTTGGAGAGAGGAACGAAATATTCCCGACAAGAGTTTGAAAACTTCTCCTTAATAGATGCATTTTAAAATCGTGAGACTGATGACAATACATAACGGACTAAAACAGACAATTTCTATTAGCTATGAAATTGAATTGTTACATATTTTTTGTTACAGACAACGAACTTTCATGAGATATATACTGTCTACTTTGAGCACGAACTCTCGTCACTTTTCTTTTGATTTCTTCAAAATAACTCAATTTTTTTATTTAATAATAAAAATAATAAATATTTAAACTTTATAATTCACTTACATAAATAAAAATAATAATAAATAAATGTATGATATATATTAAAATTTGTATTTAATGCCTTATAATCATTGACTTATTCGATTAATATTAACCTTTTCTATTATGAAATTAGAAAATATTAACTGATTAATTTTGGATACTAAAAAGACCGTTGTTGGTTAGAGACATGACTTTTAGACAACAATGTCGGACGACAAGTATTTTCCTATTTTGTTCAAAATAACTGTATCAATTTTCTCTTCAAAGAATTTGCCATTTTGATTTTGGTTAGATTAGAGATGTGATCTCTCAGCTACTCATAAATTCTTCTTTGACCGAGTCGATAGTAAGTATTTTTTTAAATACTAAAGTTATGTGTTATTTTTATATTTCAGGTAAAAGCTGTTGGATGATGAAAGTCTCACATCGGTTAATTTAGGGAATGGTCATGGGTTTATAATCTAAGAATACACTCTTCATTGGGGTGAGGCATTTTGGGAAGCCCAAAACAAAGCCATGAGAGCTTATGCTCAAAGTGGACAATATCATACCATTGTGGAGAGTCGTGTTCGTTTAACATGGTATCAGAGTCATGCCCTAAACTTAGCCGTGCCAATAGATTGACAAATCCTCGAATGTCGAACAAAGAACTCCAGAAAAGAAAAAATGAGTCAAGCCTCAGTAAAAAATGACTAAGACTCCAAAGGAGTCGAGCCTCGATTAAGGGGAGGCGTGCTTTGTTCGAGGGGAGGTGTTGGAGTCGAGCCTCGATTAAGGGGAGGCGTGCTTTGTTCGAGGGGAGGTGTTGGATGATGAAAGTCCCACATCCCCTAATTTAGGGAATGATCATGAGTTTATAAGTGAAATACTAACTCCATTGCTATGAGGCCTTTTGGGAAGGCCTTTTGGGAAGCCCAAAGCAAAGCCATGAGAGCTTATGCTCAAAGTGGACAATATCATACCATTGTGGAGAGTCGTGTTCGTTTAACAAAAGCAAGACACTCATATATGGTTGACGGCGGCATCGCATCAAAGACTATAACACTTGCATAAGGTAGTTGCATTTATTTTTCGTAGATCTTACATTAGTGTATGACATTATTTTTAATATTTTCCTCAATTTTATTTTAATTTACTTTGAATATTTCCCTTGTATTGTTTTAAGATCTTTTCACGTATGAGTTCATGGCATCATATTTATAAAGTCGTTTTAAATGAATGCTTTTGCATAAAAAAAGTTACGTCATACATATGGTAGCGACTTTAGGCCAGTAGAAAATTAGGGTCGGTACCACATTTCTAAATTAATAAATTTATTAATTTATTAATAAATGATTTAAAATTTAGGTTAATTTCAATGAAAGAGATGGTCACTACTTTGATTCTTCATTCATGTTTTTCCAACATTAAAAAAAAATTAAGAAATAAATAAAAAAAATGGGCATTTTTTTTTTTCAAATTTGGAGCCTAAATTTTCAAATGGTCACCTTTTTATTTATTTATTTATTTATTTTAATTCTATGAAGACTTCGGACTAAATTAGTTATTAAAAAAATTATAAACTAAAATATTTTAAAATGTATAATGGATAAAATGATTCTTAGAAATAAATAAATAAATAAATAAAAATATAAACGTGACCCTTCAATCTTCCAAAAGGAGCTCTTTCTCGGCCTTTACTCAACTCGATTTTCTATCTCTTTTAGAGGTCTAGAAAAATTTAGGTCCCGTTTGATAATGATTTTGATTTTTTAAATTTTATTTTTAAAATTAATTGCTTTGTTTTTATTTTTGGAGTATTTGCTATCTAAAATATACTATCCTTTAACTAAAATAATATATATAAGAAGTTCTTTAATTTTATTTACATTTTAAAATAGTTTTAAAAAATTAAAAGTGAAATACGTGGGAAAGGGAGAGAGAGGAAAAACGTTATTTTATTCTTTTTATATATAAGTGTTCTCTAATTTTGATTTACAAATTTTGCTTTTTTAATCATTTTATTCCCTCCCTTAAAAAAAAAAAATAGTTTTTTTTTTATAATATTTATTTATTTTCTTAAAATTTTAATAGATAAAAACAATGTTAGTTAGTTTTATTATTATTATTTTTCTAATATCGGACAGTATAATAATTTGCAATTATATTTATTGTTATTATAACAAATATTAATAATTTTAAGGTAACTTCTATTTTTGGTTATAAAGTTTAAATAATAAGTTAATTTATTGTTCAAACAAAAAAAATAATAATAAGTAGAATAACAATTTCTTGAAAAAATTAAAATATTCGCTACCCTACAATATCGATAGACGATTTAACTTGACATGTTGCAGTAGATTATAAGTGTGTAGCGGTAAATTATACGTGTGTTACAACGAGATTGAGAATAGGTATTATAGTTTATAGTTTTTCGAAAAATCACATAATATTTATTAGCGCAATTGTTTTAAAATTTATAAGGTATTTAGGTTAATTTAAAAGCGATTTATGCACATTTTGTACTTAATTTCATTAAAATTAGTTTACGCTTAAACAAAATAACTTTTTTTCTCCAAAAATACCATAAGATTAAAACATCTTATGGCAAAAACATAGAAATTACAAAATTGCAATTTCTCTTGACTCTCATCTTCCACAGTCACACTACTTCGACCGCTATGGCCGGCGGCAAGCTCTGCAGCAGATCATAGGTAAGCATGGACGCCTTCGCCTTCGGCGGCCGGTCGGATAATCCAACCGGAAGCGGCGCCGGCGTCGACTTTTCGCACTTCCCTAACCATTTGGCCTGCATGTATCTGTACTTCCTCCATGGCCCTAAGTGCATCTTCTTTTCCTTCATGCACTTCTCCGCCGAATTGCACAGAATTTTGATCGATTCTCGAAGTTTCTCGGCTTTTCCGATGAATACTTCCGGCAATCGTCTGACCAATCGCTTGTACTCTTCACTTGCTCTGGCTAGTTCGAATTCCTCTCTGAAATTCATCTCGATTATGACTCTCTCATTCGGATTCCAATCGTCCGCCACTTCCAAATAACTGTGTTCCCCTGCGCGTAAAAAAGCCCTAATTATCAAATCCCTAAAATTGAAGACGATGAGAACTAACGCTAGGGTTAGGGTATTCTGTTTACCTGATGGAATTTCTGGCGAGCTTTTCCATTTGGACTTACAAACGGCGCAATTGAAGCCGGCGTTTCTCAGATAACTACATATTTCTCTCTGTACACACTCCCGACAGACCGCAACCTCCGCTGGTCTCCGGCAACCGCATTCAATGGACTTTAAATTCATTTCTCTGAGAGCATTCTTCGTTGCTTTCCAGATTTTTAACTCAATCGAATTGGTCCTTTTCAAATTCGCCTACAAAAAAAGAAAGAATCAGAACAAAATTACACCAATGAAATCACGTAACGAAATTCCTTTACCCGAAGAACTTCCGTCTGCGATTTCCAGAAGGCTCTGTTTTCTTTAACGATGGAGGAAGTTTCTCCGTTCTGATCTCCGTCGTTGCTGGAATCATATGAACTTTCCGACGGGTTCTCCGACTCTTCTGGGAATATATCGATGAAGCTCGCCGATATGTCAGACATTTTTTCGAAACTTCCTTCGGAGCCACCCGATCCCGACGACTAGCTTGATTTTTCTCCGTTGGATTTCATGCTCTGGTTGCTCGTCGAACACGTCGCTGAAATTTTAAAATTTTATAGCCCAAATAATCGTAATCGACTCTATCACGTGGGACCCATTCCACTGCCAACGAGGCAAACAGATTTTAAATTATATTTTGAATAAAAATCCAACAATTTAGTTTATTTTCCCAACATATTTGAACTATTATCAAGGATGGATAGATTTTGAATTTCAGTTTCTCGTTATGAATAACCATATTATGATAATTATATCCATTACATTTTTTTTTTAATTTAATAATATGAAATACATTTTTTTTTTAATTTAAGAATAACCTCATAATCGATATTATTAAATACGAAAAAAAATCCACATATATTAAAAAAAAATGTCAGAATCTTCGTTTTATAATTATTAAAAAATATTTTTAAATTGTCAGAATCATGAAGGTGTGTTATTAAATTAAAGGGAATTTTTAATATAATAATACAAGTCGATTAATTTGAATAATTTTTTAATCGAGACTTTCCATTCTATCGTGTTAAATACGAAAAAGTCACCTGCTTAAAAAATAATGCACAAAAGAGATAAAAGAATGAATTAGTGAATAATATCAATGTGAGATCTCATTGAGTTGGAGGGGAGAATGAAACATTTCTTACCAGAGTTGAAAAACTTCCTTAAATTATGCCTTTTAAAATCGCGATGCTAACAATGATATATAACGACTAAACCGAACAATATCTACTAGTGGTGGGCTTAGGTTATTACTAATGATATGTGAGCTAAATACTAGACGGTGTGCCAACTAGAACGCAGGGTCCTAAAAATGGTGGATAGTAAAATCTGTGGTTAGAGGGAACTAAACCTTTCTTAGATGGATATGGAGGATTCGACCTCTTAACTTGCCCCTACCTATAATATAAATCATAAATATCTTTGGTTGTTAAATCGAATATTCCATATAATATGAGATGATGCCCCTGCCAATTTCTAGAATCTAGAGTTGAATGACTAAAATACCCTCCTATCCAAACTTTTCACATTATAGTAAAATAATGATATAAATGGCGACAATTTATCACGATGGGCCTACTTTTAGTTTAATCTTGACCAGACATTTTTTTTTATTTAATTAAAAAACGGTCAAGACGAGCATAACTTAATAATGGATACAAATTCATTCACTTGAGCTCGAAATTTCAAATTCTCATACCCCGCTTTCATCATTATTGACCAAAAAACCCTCGAAAACTCTCTAGACTACAATAATGTAATCTTTACTTATATCACTTCCAAATATGCAAAAAAAAAAAAAAAAAAAACAAAAAAAGAAAAAAAAAAAAAAAACAAAAAAAGAAAAAAAAAAAAAAAACAAAAAAAGAAAAAAAAAAAAAAAACAAAAAAAGAAAAAAAAAAAAAAAACAAAAAAAGAAAAAAAAAAAAAAAACAAAAAAAGAAAAAAAAAAAAAAAACAAAAAAAGAAAAAAAAAAAAAAAACAAAAAAAGAAAAAAAAAAAAAAAACAAAAAAAGAAAAAAAAAAAAAAAACAAAAAAAGAAAAAAAAAAAAAAAACAAAAAAAGAAAAAAAAAAAAAAAACAAAAAAAGAAAAAAAAAAAAAAAACAAAAAAAGAAAAAAAAAAAAAAAACAAAAAAAGAAAAAAAAAAAAAAAACAAAAAAAGAAAAAAAAAAAAAAAACAAAAAAAGAAAAAAAAAAAAAAAACAAAAAAAGAAAAAAAAAAAAAAAAAAAACCTAACAGTAATTGATACGAGCTCATTAACTTGAGTTTGAAAGTTCAAATCCTCATATCTCGCCTTCGTCATTATCGACCAAAAAGCTCTTGAAAACTCTCTTGGCCACAATAATGTATTGTCTACTTATATCACTTTCGAATATTCGAGATACCAAAAAACCCTTGAAAACTCTCTCGACCACAATAGTATTATCTCTACTTATATCACTTTCGAATATGGCCTATCGAGATTTTTGCCCGTCTACATCCAAAATAGTGCCTAAAACTCTCAAGTTCCATAAAATCTTGGTTTGTAACGTTTCATTGGTACTTCATGACCCAATGTGCTTAAAACTATCCTCAAATCAGACAAGAATAAATAAGAACATTATATTGTAACACTCCAAGCCCACCGTTAGCAGATATTATTCGCTTTAGCATGTTACGTATGTATCGTCATTAGCCCACGATTTTAAAACTCGTCTAATAGAGAGAAATTTTCACACCCTTATAAGAAATGTTTTATTCCCTTCTCTAACCAAGATCTTACCGATAAGATTTTGATTTAGATTAAGATTTAAAAACTAGATATTACTTTTCAAAAAAAATACAAACAAAGAAATCTAACAAATCTATGGGTGCTATTTCTATACAAGTTATCAGCATCTAAAACACAAGAAGAATGAAGAACAAATGGCAAACACCACGGCAGTGTCGGGTGCACTCAAAAATCATAGCAGTGCTTCACAACCACCTTTTATACAACATATGAACCAAAAATCTACACAAACAAATCACTTTTGATTACACGACTCGAGCCATATCAGATCTCAGGTCTCTCCAATGGTCTTTTCTGCTGCCCGGTGAGAGCGATCTTGGTAATCTATCTCATACTCCATGGCTCAACATGAGATGTTTTCCAGTTGTTGCTCTCGAACCCTTCGACTGAATGTTAGCAGCTCTACCGTGTCGTGCTTGTCGAGCAAATTCTTGAATCTGACGGTCTTTCTCTTTCAGAATTTTATCTAAGTTGTTTGATGGACCAAGAAGTGGACCAGAAGTATAAAGCTTGTTCATGTCTGTCCCATAAGCAAACTGAACCACATAATGAACAAAAATCAGCATCTCAGGCAGCAGAACATCATTCATTCATTTGATTAGAACACAGCTCAAGATAGCATAGCACTAGGATTTTTATCTTCATTCATGTAAACTACTTAGTAGGAGGAATGAAAGAACGAACCGGGGACTGTTCTTTAGCACAAGCCTTTTCATTCTCTATCCGGTATGAATCTGCACCTCGATGTGCATAAAATACTCGGTCCTGCTTTCTTGTTGCCTCAGACTCCCTAACAAAGTCGGGCAATCTGCCTACTTCTGATCGTGATGGACCCGGTCTATCGTAGGGATGTTCAGATGTATTAGACCTCGTCGCTACTAAACGGGATAACACTGAGAGATTGGATCCATCAAGCAACATTGAATGATCATCAAGTTGCTTTCTTGATTTCATCCAATCTGGTCTGCTAATTAGCGGTCCTGAATGTGAAATCCTGCCTGTATCTGAACAAATTTCTGTGACAGATTGGTTTTGTCTGGGAGGAGCAATACAAAACCCAGAAACTGTTTCGTCCCCATGCGGATTGAGCACTCCGATTCCGCCTTTGAAACTTGAATGACCTTGCCTTTTCTGTAACGAAATGCAAAGATAAATTAGTCCAGAAAAGCATATAGAAAATGTGAGATCCCACCTCCGTTTGGGAGGAGAACAAAATATTCTTTATAAGGGTGTGGAAACCTCTCCTTATCAGATGCGTTTTAAAACCTTGAGAGAAAGCCTAAAGAAGATAATATCTGCTAGCGGTGGCGGTGGGCTTAGGTTGTTAAAACCGAAAAAGTTTAAAAGAATACCTGCATTAATATGTTTGCTTCATCCTTGGCATTAAGAGAAAGATTAATGTTAGCTTCCTTAGATCGCCTCCCTTCCGCATAATATTTTGGGTCCTTGCCCTCAACTCGTGATTGCCTGCAATGGAAGAAGAGCTTATTATGAAGTTATATACCCAAGAGAGCCAGCCCTTACTGAACATCTTCCCAGCCTCAAATACTTGCTTACCTCCTGCAGCTGTTGAATTTTGCATCGATCTCTTTGCTCGGAGGATATTTGGGCAAACTCGAAGGGTCGCAAGCAAGCGGTTTAGTCGTAAAAAACTGAAGATTTATGAATATATGAGAATCTATGCATCAGAGTAACTTTCAAATGATTCCAAGGAAAGGCAGCAATACCTCGCTCTTTAAGGCAGCAGCTGCAGTTCCTCGATGAGCAGGATCAATAGATAGCAACTTATCCACGAGAGCCACCGCAGAAGATGGGAAATCCTTGAGCATTTCCACGACACAACGTCGGTATGGCTGAGCCGTCTTGAATCCAGTTGAATGAGGTAACTGTAATTTCCTCCAATAATTCTCGGGTGGCGACCCACAAAGTTTAAAGATCTTATGCAACTGTTCGACCTGCAGAAAATAACTTCAAAGATTTCATATGCATACCAAAATCTTTGATCTTGTTCATTTGATCACTAGCAGCCTTAGCTAAATCATGAATAAGAAGACAAATCTCTTAATAGAAATATAAAGATGTTCGACCTCTGTTTTTCCAGGTAAGATGGGCTTCCCAGCATATAGCTCAGCTAGTATGCAACCAGTACTCCACAGGTCCACTGCAACCCCATAATGAGAAGCTCCAAGAAGAAGTTCGGGCGGTCGGTACCATAGAGTCACTACGCGACTTGTTAAGGGAACATGATTATGAGGGTCAAAATGGCTTGCTAGTCCAAAATCTGCAATCTTCAAGATACCATTGGCATCGATTAGGAGATTCGAACCCTTTATATCACGGTGGAGGACACCATGACTGTGGCAATAATCAAGCCCCCTTAGAAGTTGTTGCATATAGCATTTAACCTTCCATGGCCATAAGCATAAAGTGTTAGGTTCTTGAGGATTGGATAGATATCATTAATTAGTAATGAATTCTAAGCAAAATTTACCTGTGGTTCGCTGAACTTGACGCCGGGCCGAGATGCGAGTCCTGTAAGATCATGCTCCATATACTCAAAAATGAGGTACAAGCTACATGATCGCGGAGACGTAATCAAGCCTTCCAATTTTATAACGTTTGGATGATCAAGTCTACGTAGGATAAGGATTTCCCGGGCCATAAACTTCACACTCTCCACATCAAGATTATCGAATCGAACTCGTTTTAGAGCGACTAGTTTACCGTGAATGATATCACGAGCCTTGTAAACACTACTATATGTTCCTTGTCCTATCTGTGAAAATAAAACCACCACCAAACCAAACAAAACAACAGCAAACTCAGCTGACAATCACATCAACAAACTACTTCCAACTCCCAGATTCACAACTTTTACATACCTTGTCTAGTTTCTCGAATGTTTCGGCTTCTCGTGGCAGCCATCCCTCGAGCGCTTCACCAGCCACAGAGGAAAGCCAGCTAGGCCAACCAGCTGCAACTTGCTCAGCTTCCATAGCCTTTGGAATGCTTCCTTTACCAGGATAATTAGCAGAAATGGCTGCTTCCAACCTCTCCCTCTTCTTTTTCTCAATTTGATCATCATGTACCCTGTTTGAGCCGTTGACCCTCTTATCTAAGTAAACAACCTTCAAGTCACCACCTTCTGGTTTCACCTTTGATCGAATACTATCAGCTCTCTGTGAGGCATTTAGTCGAACACCTTGGTCCCTCTTCACGGAATTGAATTGCACATCCTCCTCTTTCCTTGAAAAATTAACCCCTGAAGCCTTTAGTGAAGGCAATTTCTCAGAGGCTCTGCTCTGTTCATCTTCATGAACAGATGGCTTGGAACATTGGCAACCCATAATTGCAGCCCAGAAACTAATAACAAAATCGTAAGTTTCTTCAGAAATTACAATCTCCTCTTGAAGCCAACGATAGATATATTCCAGAACAATCCCATAAATAACGAATCAAAACACCACAAAACCTCGAAACTATTCTACATATATACTCGATGCAGAGAAGAAGACCCTAAAACGAATGCCAAATCGAACATTTAAACACGGAAGTTTGAACACCAAACAGTTGTTGATCAGAAAAAACTGGAACGAATTTCCTAAGTCCCTTCTTCCAGAATCTGAACCGACCCAACAAGGAAAATCCAGAATCAATCAAAAGAGAAAATGAAAAACGATCAAGAACAGCGACTTTTTTAACAAAATCCGAAAACCCCACAATCACTTCGAATCGCTTTCATCAATCAGCAGACTATTTCACAGTCAATCAGAGGAAACAAACTAGTGATCAATATCTTGAAAAAGAAAAAAAAAAAAAAAAAAAAAAAGTACCCAAATAGATAATCGGAAGTAAATGGAATGAAAAAGAGATAGAGACGCTTAGTTACCAAGAAAGAACATTGAGCTCGCCTTTTGAATTCCGAACGCGTATTCAAACATGTATTTTCAAAGATTATCATATTAAGACGGCCTGTGCCGGCTGATCGACTATAAAATTCCCACTTTCTCTCTCTATCTCTCTATCTCTCTCTCTCAACCCATGTCGACGACTAGGATCATCGAGAAGGGATTAAGGATTTGGTTCGCATTTTAATGCCAAATTAGGAAATTTAAACGGGCTAATTACGTGGGGTTTAGTTCTTCAAATCAAAAGGATATACAAAGTCAACGAAAGTGAAATTGCACAAACCAAACCATCCACAAACAGTAAGCCTTGTTTGAATTCAACTGTTTTGTTTTCAATTGTTCTTCCACTAAATCATGAGCAGAATCACAAAGTGTTGTCTTTAATTTTGTTGACAAAATTAGTGGGGTTTGTTGTCAGTGTTTGCTTTACCATTTAACTCCCAAAAATAATCACATATTTTTTATTATTAGGATCGACTAATTCGTATTTAATTTTTTTTTATAAATAAAGTTTTGTGACGGATTATAGATATTATGATGGGATGAAATTGACTCGTGGAACTAAATTAATAAATAAATAAAATAAATTTTGAATTTTGTTTTTTTTTTTTAAGAGAAAATCAAATTAAGTCATAATTAAACAACCCCGTAATTGTTGATTTATATTTTAAAATTTCAATAAAAAATTGAAATGGATTTAGTTTTGACTATTACTTGCATCCATCCTTTTCATTTTAATTAATACATTAATAATTTATTTATTTTTAGTTCACCAAAAATATTAGGTTTGAATTTTGAAGCCCTAAAAGCAATACCTAAAGTCTGTAATTTTCAACTAAATAGTTTACTTATAGTAATTTTTGTCAAAAATGTTTTAATTTTTTAGAGAATATTGTAATTTTTTTTCCTTAAAAAACATATTTATTAGGTAGGAAAAAAAAAGAAAAAGGGGTTTTCTTTTTCAAGTTAATAAAAACCTTTTCCCAATAAAATAATTTATAATGGTTTTCCGTGATTCTCGTTGTCTACACACGGTCTATTTAGGACAAAAAGAAAGTTGAGCTACTGAGCTCAACTGGGAGAGCATCAGATTGAAGATCTAAAGGGCGTGTATTCAATTCACGCTCATTGCATATTTACGAACAGTCTCAATAGACTTACTAAATGAGAGAGACTAAAGATCTGAAGGTCATATGTTCGATTCACGCTCGAGATGGATTTGGAATCAACCCATTAGCGACAGATTTATTTTCTCTTAGTTACATGCAAATCCCAACTTATGTACATTAGCTCAAAGAACAGAACTGGTGGTGGCTTGGCTTCTATGTTTCTTTTTTCTTCCCTTTTCTTGTAGGAAGCCAACACCTAAAAACTGTGCCTAAACCTTTCCTATCTACATTGATTGCCTAATGAACCAACTAATTCCCTTTCGACTCTAGACGACAAGAGCTTCGAAGCCCGACCATGTCGTGCCCGGAGAAATTCAGCCAACTCTTAGAGTTTTGTCTTGGCTCGTTGATTCTGGCCTTGAAACTCCATTTCTTTCTCGGACATGTTTGTAAGAAACAAACTCAATTGGCCCAGATGATGTTAAACACTCCCTTGGAATTGCTGAAACGTGTTTCGGTACCGTTTTCGAGTTTGTAAATCCTGGTCTCTGAGTTATTATAGGTCCTGAACTTGAGGTTCTCTTCGACACCAATCCGTAAGAACACTTCTCATTCCGATACTTCGAGCTCAAAAAACTTTGTTTTCTCTATAATCCGAAAACCAAGATGGTTAGAGAATCAAGAGACAAGATAACATCTTCTGCTAGATTATAGAACTTCATGTAGAGTTTACCAGAAGTGAAATAACCAACTCAGAGTTGGCCTTTGCAGCAGGAACTACCCGAGATTGCTTCAGTCCTTTTAGTTCGGCGTCGACTGCTCGGCTTCTCCCGCCACCTACTCCTCGTTGCCTGTGTAAAACAAAGAACTATGAGTCTGCAAAGAGTGAAGCCAACTTTGCTCTTCAAGCAACTCAATGATGTTTACCTTCTTGCTTCCTCTTCCCGCAGTTTTGAATTGATTTCTTTGCTAGGAGGGTACTTTGGCAAACTTGAAGGATTGCATGGCAAGGGCCTTGTGCTAAAGAACTGTTCAAAGAAAACCCTTGTTAGATCTTCATTTACCAGTTCCAACTGAATTGAATCTCCGTTGGTTAATCGGTTTTTGAAGAAGAGTTGTGTCGTACCTCACTGTCGAGCGCGGAAGCTGCAGTTCCTCGCTCTGCAGGATCTATAGACAGCAAATTGTCCATGAGCTCAATAGCAGCATGAGGAATGTCGTCATATCTTTCTCGAAGACATCGTTCGTACGTCTGCGGAGGCCTCATGCTTGTTGAATGCTTCAAATGCAAGTTTCTCCAATATTCCTTGGAGGGGGAACCACATAGCTTGAATATTTTGTGTAGTTGTTCAACCTGAAACGTGATGCATCAACTTGGTTGTTTTGACAAATAAAAACATTGAAGGCCACATTTGATCGATCTAAACGTGTGAGATCTCATATCAGTTGGAGAGGAGAACGAAACATTTTTTATAAGGGTGTGGAAACCTTTATAGTGGTGGACTTGGTCTGTTACAAATAGTATTAGAGCCAGATATCGGGCGATGTGCCAGCGAGGAGGCTAAGCCATGAAGGGGGTGGACACGAGGCGGTGTGCCAGAAAGAACGCTGGGCCCTAAAAGGGGTGGGATTGGGGGGTTCCACATCGAATGGAGAAGGGAACAAGTGTCATCGAGGACGCTGGGCCCTGAAGGAGGGTGAATCATGAGATCCCACATCGGTTGGGGAGGAGAACGAGATCTTCTTTATAAGGGTGTGGAAAACTCTCCCTAGCATACGTGTTTTCAAAATCTTGAGGGGAAGCCTTGAAGGGAAAACTCAAAGAGGACAATATCTCGTAGCGGTGGGCTTGGGCTGTTACAAAACAGCTTATATTTGAAGACAGGAAGACAACCTCAGCAAGTTAAAGCTATATTGTACCTCTGTTTTTCCTGGCAAGATAGGCTTGCCGGCATATAACTCTCCTAGAATGCAACCAGCACTCCATAAGTCAACTTCAGCTCCATATTGAGATGCTCCAAGTAAAAGTTCCGGTGGTCGATACCAGAGAGTTATTACACGACTCGTCATGGGAACCGTCGACTGTGAATCATAGAAAACAGCCAACCCAAAATCTGCTATCTTCAAAACGCCATTGTTGTCAATAAGAAGATTTGAGCCCTTTATGTCTCTATGCAGAACCCCATTACTGTGACAGTGAGCAAGCCCGCTCAAAAGTTGCTTCATGTAACACTTCATCTGAAATAGTCATGGATAAAACTGGTTACATAATATATAGTTGTGTATGGATTACTAATATTCATGAGCTATATATGCAACCTGTGGTTCGGTGAACGACGTGCCAGGCCGAGATGCAAGTCCTGTAAGATCATGTTCCATATATTCAAAAACAAGGTACATGTGACATGATGTTTGTGATGTGATCAAACCTTCCAACTTAACGATATTTGGATGATCAAGCCTTCGCAAAACAAGGATTTCCCTAGCCATGAACGCGATACTCTCGGCATCTTGATTGTCGAACCTGATCCGTTTCAAGGCCACAGCTTTATCCTGAATGATATCACGAGCTTTATACACACTGCTATAAGTTCCCTGGCCAATCTGCAAGAATGAGATAGGTTAATCAGCTGCAAATTAGTGAGCATAAAGCTACAAGGCTCAAAGAGAGAGCATGCCTTTTCTAACTTGATGAAGTTATTGGCATGTTTGGGCAGCCACCCTTTGATGGCCTCACCAGCCATCTTAGCCAGCCAACTCGGCCAACCAGCAGCAACCTGCTCGGCTTCGGTAACATTCGGAATCTTTCCCATACATGGATGAGTGACAATGGTGATATCAGGGACGTCTGCCTTCTTCCTCTCATTAGGAAGCTCACCGTGCGAGCGCAGAGGACCATTCGCCTTCGTATCGAACAACATAACCGAAACATCGCCACAATCTAGTCTATCTTTTTCCCAAATCTTCTCTGATTTGGGAAAGCCAGCTCTTGATATTTTCAATTCAGAGAGGTGTTTTCTGGAGGAATATGCCCTATTGGAGCTATCATGTTCATGTTCACTACACTCATCCGGTAAAACCTTAGAACAGATGCAACCCATTATGCAAAAACTAAACACAAATCAATGAAGATTATGTTCTTACATAAACCCCAATCCCAAACTCAAAAAACAACAAAATTCAAGACAATGTCAAGTGTTCTTATTCAAGAACGAAGCTAGAACAAACGCATCAACCAGTCCCCACCCGTACCATTCAAACCCACAAAAGTAAGCGGATTAGGATAAAACTTTTTCAAGAGGAAGCAAAAAAATCAAAGGGATAAACTCAGATGATAGAATAAATCTGACCCACCAGACACAACATCATAAACAGTGGAATAAATGGATCATGGACTCATTCAAACCAGCAGAAGGTAATAAAAACTTGAAGATGAGTCGTGAAAAGCGTCTGGAAGAAGAAACTAGTACAAAACCTAGAAGAGCGTCTAGAAAGGGTAAAGCAGAATTCCAAAACGTCAAACAATCGAAATAGAAAAGCTTACGAAATGGGGCAGGAAAAATTAAAAGAGACATTAATGAGAAGAAAATTACAGGCGATTTGAGAGGCGGAGTGTTCTGTCTGGTTGAATTGAGCTGAGGGAGAAGGTGTTGAGAAACAATTGGAGTATTGGGTATTGGATTTTCAAAGAGGTCGTTTTAGTGGCTTTCGGCTAACCCCACACTCATAATTCTGTTCTTAATCACAATTTTCAGTGACTTTCAGCTAATTAAAAGTACCATTTCTTCTCCAAAGCCGCCATTAATCACCGTCTTTTTCCTTATTAAACAGTAAACACTTCCCTTATAAATACGTTTCCCAAACTAAAAAAAACAAAGTGAACGTTAAGTGGTACGAAAGCTCCATGAGAAAACCCGAAATTTCAACTTTTAAAGTTATGGCTTGAGGTTTATTGGGCTCTCTTCAAGTTTGTCTCATAGTTACCTCCGACTTTGCTCATGCTTTAGTTTGACTTTTATATACATTCTTTTTAGTGTATTGGATGATGCACGGTCTTCTCGATTGTATTGTGATACTTGATGGTCTTCTTTTAATGCTTGTAGTTTTATACCGATCTATTTTGTTAACTAAACGCCTGTTTCACTTGCCACCAACGTGAGAACAACTTAACCGTAATTAAAACATATACTTTAGACTAGAGACCCGATGTAACAGCCTAAGCCCCCATTAGTAGATATTGTTCGCTTTGGCCCATTACGTATCGACATTAGTTTCACGGTTATAAAACACGTCTACTAGGGAGAGATTTATAGACCGTCATAAGAAATGATTCGTTACACCTCTCCAACCAATGTAAGATCTCACAATCCATCCCTCTTGGAGGGCCAACATTCTTGCTAGCACACCACCCGGTTTCTGACTCTGATACCATTTGTAACAGTTCAAGTCCATCACTAGTAGATATTGTCTGCTTTGGCCTATTACGTATCGTCGTCAGCCTCGCAGTTTTAAAACGTGTCTACTAGGGAGGGGTTTTCACACCCTTAACGTGGGATCTCACACACGAATCACTCATTCTCACGTGTTTACCAAAAAAAACACTTATTTCACCCAATAAAACGTATTTACTTGAGAGTTTCGTGTCTTGACGTATAGGTCATGACGCAAGGGTAGAATTATAATTCCATTCATATTGAAGACTTAGATGCTCGAACCAGCTTTCTCCACCTTCCACCTAACCTTAATCTATTCTAAAAAAAAATAGTGACACCTAATATATAGCTTTTAATGTCTTAATTCATTAATCTTATACCAGACCTAGACTAGGTCCACCAATAATTATAAAAGATAATTAATAAGCTCAAATCCACCCCAACACGCCAAAACGTCTCAGATTTCAGCAGTCCCAAAGGGAGAAGAACTTTACTCCATTTCTTAATCAAAATCATCTGATTACTCAGATATTACTTTTGCATTAATCACCAAATGCCAGCTTTCACTAATCTACTTTCTGAACCAACAATGGCGGCATTAATCATGGTGATTTGTAATCAATATGAAAATCAGTGTCTTTTTCCGCTTCTTAAGAGGGCTGCGCTTGCATTAGTTTCTCCATAGTTAACAATGCTTAAGAATTTAACTAAATAAAGGGTGTTGTTTCTTAGGAGGAAATAGCTTAAATCTTTCCATATTTATTCACTTCTTACGATGCTCGCGTATCTGTGTGGACTGTACTATTTGTTATAACCCTTTGCATTGTTTTGATTACTTATTGTTCTGACGCATAAGGACTAAGATTCTTAGATGAAATAGCTTAAAAAAATGGAAATCATGGTGGGAGACAAGGAGAAACTCGAGCATGTGAGTGATTCAGAAGCAGGTTTTTGAGATCCACTGCAGTGGTAAGGTGATCTTTGTCTGTATATTGGAAGGGGGGAAGATTTGGAAGCAGCCCATTTACGTGGGTTGAAGAACAAGACTATTGCGTTCTTGGGTCGTGATCGAAAAGGCTGAAAACCATGAAAAGATACCAACATTCTACCATACTCCCTCAACCTCTTTTTACTTCTTTTGCTTAATCTCTCATTAATTCTTCTTCACTGCTTATTTGGGCTGCAGATTTTGGTGGGGTTTTCTTCAATCATAACCTCTCTGTTCCTTCTCTCTTATAAATCCCCAAAACCCAAGATTGCAATCAGCTTGAAGTGGGAGTGTTACTATTCATAACACGTTCCAACTCCACGAAGAATCGTTGGCATACATTTGTGGTAGAAATAGGGATCTGGGTTTACAATAAGATAGGCCAATTTAGCCGACATTCTTGTTTCTTGTGGTTTAGTGTTCTGAAATCGCATCTGGGTATGAGCGATTCTTTGATTTTGTTTGATATATTGTCATAAACAGTTGAGTTTTGTTTTTTACAATCGTTTCGTTTTGTATTTTGGGGTTTCCATCGCCGCCTATATTGTGTTCGTAGGGAGGAAATAATGGCGGGGAATGGGCTCTTTTACCCGATTCTTGGACTCGCATGTTGTTTGGCTTTCATTTACATATCGTTTGGGGACTGGAAGCTTGGGGATACTAAAGCCCCCAAAATGGGTTTTGTAGAGAGGAATGGAACGAAGTTCATGGTGAATGGGAGGGCGTTTTATATCAACGGATGGAATTCTTACTGGTTTATGGACCATGCCGTTGAGGGACATAGAAAGCCCAGAGTCAGAGCGATGCTGCGGGCGGCGAGGAAGATGGGGCTTACAGTTTGCCGAACTTGGGCCTTCAGCGACGGTGGCTACAATGCCCTCCAGGTTTTTCCCGGCAGGTTTAACGAGCAAGTCTTTAAGGTAAGTGAAACGTCTGTTGCTGTGATGAGCTATATTTTTCTTAGAGATTCCTGTTGTTTCTGTGATTGGGTTCTTTACTTGTTGAGCTCTTGTTTGATTCCTACTCTCATGTGCCTTGGTTCTGTCTTTGTGATTGGCTTCTTCTGAAATTCTATGTCAATGTCTGTTTTAGAGAGCGATGAAGTGTGTCTGCAGGCGTTGGAAGGCTCCACTGGCCAAAAAATGGAAGCTGGGTGCTTCCACCGACAGAAGAATTGTGTGAATATGATTTGAATTCTCACGTTCTATAAGCCGATTGAAAAACATTATTACTTATATTTCTATGAATGCTCAAGGTGGTTTTGTTTGTTTACTTCTTCATATAGTTCTAAGTTCATAAATTGAGGACTGGAGTTCATGGACGAACTAGATAACTTCCTATTACTAACGGTTGGAGAAGGGAACGAAACATTTCTTATAAGGGTGTGAAAACCTCTCCCTAACACTTTTTAAAACCTTTAGGGGAAGCCCAGAAGAGAAAGACCAAAGATGACAATATCGACTAGCGGTGTTCTTGGGCTGTTATAAATGGTATCAGAGTCAGACACTAGGCGGTGTGCCAACGAGGACGTTGGAGCCTTAAGAAGGGTGGATGATGAGATCCCACATCGGTTGGAGAGGGGAATGAAGCATTCCTTCCTATAAGGGTATGAAAACCTCCTCCTAACAAACGCGCTTTAAAACTTTGGGAAAAGCTCAAAGAAGACAATATTTACTAGTGGTGAGCTTGGGCGATTACCATGTCTCTCTCTCTTGTTTCTAAAATGACACATTATTCAAACTACAAACAATAAAATATATGCATATATGTTTTCGTGATTTGTTTGGTTTGACGATAATTTCAATTTGCTCAAGTTGTCGGTTAACAGCTGAAGTTTTAACTGGTTTTTCCTGGTGGCAGGCTTTGGATCATGTCATTGCAGAATCAAGACAACATGGGATAAGGCTTCTCCTTAGCTTAGTCAACAACTTGCAAGCATACGGTGGGAAGACTCAGTATGTGAAGTGGGCATGGCAAGATGGTGTTGGTTTAAGCTCTTCCAATGATTCCTTCTTCTATGATCCGTCGATACGCATTTATTTTAAGAATTATATTAAGGTACGTTCCATATTTATCACTTAGTTTGTCCGGTATGGTTCGTAACGCTAATGATTTGGGTATTCATCCTGAATTTATGCTGTGGATTTTGAGTGTGAGATCCCATATCAGCTGGAGAGGTGAATGAAACATTTCTTATAAGGGTGTGGAAACCTCTCCCTAACAGACGCGTTTTAAAACCTTGAGGGGAAGCCCAGAAGGGAAAACCCAAAAAGGACAATATATGCTAACGGTGGACTTGAGCTGTTACAAATGGTATCAGAGCTAGACACTGAGCGGTGTGCTAGCGAGGATGCTAGGCCCCCAAAGGGAGTGGATTGTGAGATCTCATATCGACTGGAGAGGGGAACGGAACATTTCTTATGAGGGTGTAAAAACCTCTATCTGACAGACATGTTTTAAACCTTGAGGAGAAGCCCAAAAAAGAAAGTCTCAAAAGAACAATATCTGCTAGCACCAAACAAAAATGATTTCCCTTGTCTTAGCTGTTCTTACATTGCTACCTTATGGTGTTTACTCGTTCTAATGTGCACTACACTTTCCAGACTGTCCTAACAAGAAGGAACTCCATCACGGGAATTGAATATAGAAACGATCCGACCATCTTCGGATGGGAATTGATTAACGAGCCACGTTGTATGACCGATGCCTCAGGCGATACTCTTCAAGTAAGTTGATACTCCTCAATATAGTTGTAAGATTCTGATTCTTCTGGCTTCTGAATGTTAAACCAAATGAAAACTGAACTTGTAGGAGTGGATTGAAGAAATGTCAGCTTACATTAAATCGATAGACAAGAAGCATCTATTAACTGTTGGGTTAGAAGGATTTTATGGTCCAAATAGCCCCAAGAAATCTACTGCGAACCCGGAAGAGTGGGCATCCAGACTTGGATCTGATTTCATCCGCAATTCTGAGATCCCACATATAGATTTTGCCTCTGTTCATATCTACCCCGACCATTGGTAAGCATTGAATGATAGTACTCAATGATTCAGCTCATGTCTATGCTCTTAAACCCGTTACTTATACGATGAAATTAACATTCCGTGTTGATTAGGTTCCATGATCAAGATTTTGAAGACGAACTACAATTTGTATCCAAGTGGATGCTCTCTCATATTGAAGATGGTGACAAAGAGTTGAAGAAACCAGTGATGTTTACTGAATTTGGACTGTCAGACCTGAACAAAGGCTTCACCCCAGCTCAGCGGGATAGATTTTACAA